CACAGGATTTCTTAGAATGGAGCCACTTTGTCAAAGGAAGGTGTATACATCCTCCGGTGATGCCCAATGCCTCATTGTTCTTAAAAGTCACTTTATTGACTAACAGAAGATTCATTTTGTGGAATACACAGACCTAAATTAAAAAGAAAAGAGTAAACCAATCCAAACCCTTTGTAATTGGTTAACCAGGGGTTTTAATTTTCTTTTTGCTTGAATTTTTTGTTTGTTTTTTGTTTCAGGGGGGGTAGGGTAGCTGTTATGCTTCAGTGAAAGAAACCCAACATAACATTTTTAAGGTTCTTAAGACATAGGTTTAAAGAATGAAGATATTACTGAAAACATTTTATGGAATCTCCTTGAAGTAAATCTCATTCATCATTCCAATTTCCTTTGAGCCTGAAGCAGAGAGGGGTAAAAATACATACCTGACTTAATGTATAATTCAGTACCTTAGTGTTTCCATCAAAATAATAGGTCAGTGGTTCTCAAAGTCTGGTCTCAGTTTCCCAAGGGGGTTCTAAGGTTCTTGAGGTCAAACTTATTTTCATAATAATACTAAGACAGTCTTTGTTTTCTCACTTTCATTCTCTCATGATTGTTCAGTGGACTTTCCAGAGGCTAAAGGACATGCAGTGACATCATCATTCTGTTGGCTAATGGAATGTGTGCTTGCGCATTCTTGTGTTTTCTGGAATTTTCTAGATAAGCTCTTTGGAGCCATCAATAATTTTTAATAGTGTAAACTTAAAAGGGTTAAACTAGTAAAGTGAGTCTGAAAATTTTGAAAGGTATTAAAATACGGTCATGTGCCCACCTCACAATAACATCCTTACCTGTGTCTGATGTTTTCAAAGCTTTCTGCATAGTATTAAACACAATGCAGTTGATAATACCATGATTAAAGAGTACATATCTCTTGCATGTATGTTTCAAACTCTGCCCTTAGCAGAACCTTTAAAATCAATGAAACCAAATCTTATGTGTCAGCAGCATATAAATTAAGAGAAAAGCAGAGCTACTGCTGGGGACCACAGGTGTGGAAGTGAGCACAGCGCCCCTAGCCAACAGGCTTCTGAAGCTAACGGGACGGGATGAAAGTGAGGGTGGCACATAGCGAAGTAAGCCCCAGAGCTGGAGACAAGCTGGGACATTAGGCTGGCCTACATCACTTGTTAGGACTGCTGCTTGTGGTCCTACTCAGCATCCCCTTCTTTAGCATTCCTGTTTTCTGGACCCTGACCAATGTCATCCATAACTCATCAATATATGTCTTTCTACGTATGGTGAAAGGGGCACCTTTTGAGACCCCTGACCAAAGAAAGGCTCAGCTACTGCCACACAGGGAACAGATGGACCACAGGCTCCAGTTTCCCTCTTCCCACAAGCCCCTCCGCATCTCTCCTCTGGGCCAGCTTCTACACCAGGTATGATGCTGCCCACTTCTCCATCAACACGGCCCCATTGCTCAGCATCCTGCTGCCTTAGTTGCTCCAAATCCATGGGGTTTGTGTCTTTGGCAGCAACAAATACTGCAGGATGGGGCTGAGGATAGCTCCACAAACATTGGGAAGGCCTTGGAACAGGAGTATATAACATCCTTCCCTTCTTCACACTGTTTTCTATGCCTTGAAAGTCTGAGAACTATACAACTTTTCCCAAGTTAAAAAAAATACAAACCCTTAGATCAGAGGTGAGCTTCTGGGAACCCTATTTCCTTCTCCCTTACCCAAGGACGGGAAGAATGAATCTACCCTTTAAAAATTATTAATTTTGGACATCCTTGCAGCAACAAGCCTGAAATTCGGTGATTTAACCCACAAGGAGAAAGTCAGAGAAAGAATCAGCACCCCTATGCATCTCCTATGACTAGGGATACCTGCTTTCCTGACATGCTTTTTCACTAGTGTATCAAGATTCAGGAGGGGCCTCCCTCCTGAAATGGGTCAAGAAATTAGACTCATAGTTTTAAAAGGAGGGAAAAAAGTGTCATCTGCTCAAAAAGCAAACGACAAGACAAAGGCACACAGACCCAACAGGAGCAACCCAGTTCTCACACCTCAAATGGATATATTGTCTAGCCCAGGTCCCAGTGTTAGGTTGTTTATTCTAGCCACCCCTTATTTCTTTGGTCTTGTCAGAACACGATATTCAATACCTGGGTGATGTGGGGTGGGGGGTGGGGAGAGTGGTTCAGGGGTTTCCCGTAAGTACTGAGTGAACAATTTAAACTTAACAATTTTCGTTTTTAAAAATGTTTAAAACTAAATGAATCAAACTCCAAAAATAAATAAATAAATAAGTAGAGCTGCTGTCTTGGAGTGGGGGAAGCACAGATCTGGCAGGTTGGCCTCCTGACGGTCCTCCTGAGCGTCCTTGACCTGTTTTGAGACATTATGAAAACCACCATATTATGATTTTCCATATATATTTAATATCTCTGTGTATATTCTTCTATACATATGATTTTATTTGGTCTCAATAACAATCCCATGAGTTATAAAATAAGGGGCATAATCGCATTACAAGACAAAGAAATTGAAACACTCAGCAATGTAAAATGAATTGTCCAAGGCCAAACGCTAGTAAGTGCTGTGGGCAAGTTTTTCTGAATCCAAGTCCAGAGGCCTTTTCTATACACCATTTTGGCTCTATTTGTCATTTTAAACTGCTCGAAAACTGAAGCTTAATTTGTATAATGATTATATATTTACCTCTCCCCTAAAAAATGAAGAGAAGACAGAAGGTTGTATTTATTCATTCTGAGTTTTCCTAAGAATTCTCTTCTAAAACCTTAACTTGACAAGCACCTCAGTGAAGATAGGATTCACCAGGGAGTCTTCTGTTAGCATTACTCTCCCTCAAAAGAAATAAGCAAACAAACAAATTAATTAATTAGCTACTTAATTAATAGGAGAGTGAGAATAGGAGGAGAGTAATCATGCAGTCAAGGTATTCCCCCAGATGACAGTGATTTCTCCTCCTCTATTTGCCCAAACGCAGTCTACTCTTCCTTTAATGGGCATATTGTAAATAGAAAGAGAGAAGTATTAAGAATTTAAATTCTTCATATATTATCCACAGGGGAATTATTATCTGGGGTTTTAAAAATAACAATTTATTTTTACTTAAGAGTATGCCTATTGCACACTTTTTACAGGTGAGTAAATAAAGGCAATGAGGTGAATAGCTTTCTAGGGTCACAAAGGCAAGAAAACAGCTAGCCAATGATAACAATTTCCAAGGCCAAACTATAGTATGTTTAATTTGACCACTGTGCTGTATTTCCTCAATAGGCAGTTGTTAATAAACCATCTTTCCTTTTTCCATACATTCTTCTTCCTTCCTCAGCCTCCAACATTGAAAACTCAACTTTTATCTGCAGCTCACTTATGTGTGTTTGGTGGGGGAATAGGACAGCAGTACAGCAATATGATCTTTCTGAGGAATAGGTCAGTCTCCTACTGAGTTGGAATTTGTAACCTTCTTGGGGTTGCCTGGCCCAGATATTTTGTGCTCGACTAAGACCTGATTGTGGTCATTATATTCAGACTTCAGTGAAACATCCACAAGCAGTTCTGATCTGTCTAACAGCTACATTAAAAGCTCCTGAATACCATTCCTATTAACAAATGTATTTCTAATACTTTCTCTTCCTTGAAAATAGCACCATGTACACATCCAGTAATGGAAACATTTGTCAAGCTGTGTTAGTTAATAGTAACTCTAATATAAAGACTACAGAATGGTCAGGGAAAATTAACCTAATGATTTAACACAATCCTATGTTTAATTAACACATTAATGTTTTGCATACCAGCTCATTCTATTGTCTACAACAGTATTTTTATCATACAAAATAGAATAATAAAAGTTGACATTTATAGGATATTTTTTATCACCATGGTGTTTTACACTATTTATATAATGTACACAGGGCCTTTGCAAGGCAGATAAAATTTATTATCCCATTTTACAAATGATGATAATGGATACAGTAGTTAAGTAATGTTCCTAGAGTTATATCTAAATCAGTAGTACTATTGAAAGTAGAGCAGAGAATTTTTATTTTCCAGTTAGGTTCTTAAGTTTCTTTGTTACCTTGTAATTATTTTACTCTCAGAAATGTTTTCTCTTGCCCAAGGCATTGCTTACAAAATACCTACTACTTGCTAGGGACTTTTACACATGATATCTCCTTAAGTCATCACAAATTATCCTGTTAAAAATGATTATAAGTAAGCCCACTGAAGTTCAGAGATGTTGAATTGCCAGGCTTAAACATGACCCAGTCAAAATCCTAGCCCCAAGTTCAAGAATCCTCCTTTCACTACCTGGTGTCAATTTCTTCTACCATAAAACTAAAAAATAAAGCAAACATTTCTGTAAACAACCACATATAAGAATAACCCACGAAGGCCAGTTCATCTTAAGACAACCTATTAATAACAGCAATTTTTAAAAAAGGAAATAAAACCAAATAAAAAACCATAAAAATAAGTTACAGAAAAGAGAAAAAAGAAATTAAAAGCAATGCATTTCAAAGCAAGAATCAAAATTTAGCAAGTAGATATTTATCTCTCACTATGTCAAACATTATGTTACACCTCTAGTCTCATGTAGCTTACTTTCTAAGGTATTTTGATGTAGAAATAAGAATATATGAGCAAGGGAAAGAAAAGTAAACACAAATACATACACCCAGAGTAGGAAAAGAGAGCTAAGTGAGTCTAGTAAGGAAAGCTCCATCCTGTTGCGTAAAACACCATAAAAGTGATTCTCCAAATTATTTTGCAAGTCATGAAAAACGAAAACTTGCTCATTTTCATTAATGTAAATGACGATATATTTTCAGAAATAATTGTTTTATCCGTCTCTTCAATTTAGAAAAGCATTCAACCATACAGGAACACAGCCAACAGAACTCATCACCCGAAAATAACCTGCAGTTTTCATTCCATTCTCTGATTGGTTCCTCTCCGGACAGGAAGTCCCGCCCCTTACCAGAAACGATGGACACTCAACTGAGATGGAGACAGGAGCCCTGTGAGGTACAGGAATTGTGGGTATAAATAACCTTTTGTTAGGTTTATCAGCTTTTTTATTTTTCAAATAACTAGTCTGGTTATGGCAACCCCTTTACTACCCTGAGGGTATGAAAGGAGCATTTTTCAGACGTTTAGGGGAAGAAAAACCACTGGCCTACTTCCCAGGCCCCCTACTGTGGTGCGTGTCTTGTCATAGAGCAGGTTCTTAGAGAGTGTGGAAAGAGTGGCACTTGGGGGCAGAACACTGTTGTGACTAGATGGGTCAAATGGCTCTGTTAACTTGCCAGTGTGACGGTGCGGTGTGGAAAGGATTTGTTTTATATGAAATTAAAGCACTTCAGCCAGATTTTAGCTGACTTCTGCTAGTTACTGGACTTGGCTGAAGTAGTCCCAAAGTAAACACATTAGCTTTACTAAAAAAGAAAGCCTCTGAAGCATTTACCTACAATACCCTCTTCAGTTAAGCACTTCCTGAGGGGGACCCAGCGGTCTGTTTATTTTTCCAACTAACAAAGGATGAGGGAATCTCTCTGACATTTTTGCTTGGGAAAATCTTTGGATACTTGAATACTTCTTTTTTTTTTTTTTAATTGGAAGTTGGAGAGAGACTTAAGCTCGACTCAGTAACACCCTTGTTCGCCTTACCGCTGTAATTACCGCTCAAGAGAGAGACTAAGTTGCTTACTCCTAGCTCCTCGGCCGCTTGGGGGTAGCTGTTGTTAGAGTCCCCTTGAGATAATGATTCTTCTGGGTCAGTCTGAAGAAACCGTAGGCAACAATGGCAATCCCCAGGGTGACACTCCAGAGGGGGCCTAGATTCAGCTGTCAGTCACCTTCAACCCAGCGCCATCAAATCCATTTACACAAAAGCTGGTTATCACAAACCTTTTGAAAAGCTAAGTAAAGAGGAGATTTACCCATCCTTGAATCTTCATTCTTTTTCCTTTGAGTTTCTCATTTCTTCCATTCTATCTTTCCTTTTTTTCCCTAACTACCTCTGGGAACTTCTGAGGGTTTTTTTCCCCTTCTTTTGTTCCATCCCTAGAGCTTACACTGTTGTTATAACCCTTAAAGCTTGAGCCTAAGCTTGAATATCACTCTCAAGATATACAGATATAAATACCTGATATTCTTATATGAACAATTTTAATTCTAATAAATATTTTAGTTTCCAAAAGGATAGGATTTTTCTGGGTGCTGGGCAAGGATTATTTTATGTGGTAATGTTGAGAAACTGAAATTGTGTGGCATTTAAAGTATTTCTTTATGCATACATTTGTCTATGCATATACATTCATATATATCTTCATGTCATATACATACATTTTTCTTTTTAAAAAAATGTTTACACTCATAATGGGACTGTAAAAGGCTGGGTCAGTTTGCAACTGAAATGAGCCACAACAACTTATACAAATGTGAAAAATTATTTTCCTGTCTAAATATTTCTGAATTTCAAATATAACAGTGCCTTCTGTGATTTTTTTGTAATTTTAAGAAACTGGTTTTCTTTCACAAGCAAAAGGAAAAATTCTGGTTGTGCTATAAAATTCTGGTTTTCTGTATGTAATAGCATTATTATAAAACATTGAATTTAACAAATTGAAAACCAACTTTAATTAGTGAAAAACTGTAAATAAATATTACATTAAAATATAAGTTTATTTCATTGGTGTGCATATGATTGCTAGAATTAGACTAATGAAGTTTTGCCTAATAAAATGACCTTGAGGGAGTATTTTTAATAATATTAATTAGTTTGTCAATTGTAAGAAATTTTAGTGTCATAATTAGGAATCAATGGCAGTAGCAGATATCCTAAATTTGGTGGAACAATAATATGAGGCCTGATATGAAGAACAGGCTAGGGGGGAAAAACATCTTAAAATCCAAAATTACTTTGTCAAGAAGATTGTTGGCACACAGACCATGTCACTAAGGCCAGTACTGACTATGCAAGTTGAATATGATATAGCCCCAGTTAGTTCAGACTTTTCAACCCTTACCTGGTCCCAGGTCCCCTTCTAGTTAGTATCAAAGGACCACCCAAAATTCCACTGAAAAATAATTGGATGTTTCATTTGTCCATTTGACATTATTTCTTCAGCGTTTACTGCTACTTGCCAGATATAATAGTAAAAAGATGTTAAGTAACTTGCCATGTGGTAGAAAGAATCAAAACCAAGTAGGTATTTGAGGATGCTCAAAAATAAACTGTTGCCACATAATTTTAAACATCCTGAAATCTTATTTTTAAATTAATTTGCCCATTCAGACTATGTAATAATATCAACTATTAATATGTTACAAGAATGTTGTTTGGATTTAAAGGTATAAAAGTTAACAAGATAGAGACTGTGTCCCAAGGTAGTTCATGGTCTGCTTCACTTAATACAGGACACTATTACCTCTTTGGGACTATTACACAGCCTAGACCTGCATGATTTTGTTCCATCCCATCTCCTCTGCCTCTTTGCTAAATACTGTATTCCTCTCACACTACACTACACTCCAAACACAAAGAGTTTTTGGATTCTGTTATTTGCTTTCAGTTGTTGGAACATGTCATCTCTTTTTCACCTCAGGGCCTTTGGGATACTTGCGGTCGAAGTTTATAAAGTTTTATTTATTATATGGTGCACTTTAAGAAAAGTAGAGGTACGTTACTACCTTTTATAACTGGATATTAGCTCTAGCAGAAAATTTAGATCACTTAAACGACTGGACTATAATAACATTGTATAAAGTGCATGAAATAAACTTGTCATGCTGTCACTCTTCTATGTAATGGTTTTGTTAGGTGATTTTTTGTTTCTTTTTCTATGCCATTATTACCATTACCACAACAAATGTATTAAATATATCTCAATACAGATTAAATCATTTGTTCATTTCCTGAGGATGCCATGACAAATTACCACAAATTGGGTGGCCTAAAACAACCAAAATTTGTTCTGAAGGCCAGAAGCCTAAAATCAAGATGTCAGCCATCCTCTTCCAGGGGCTCTGGGAAAGAATCCTCCCACCGGCTTTTTGTGGCTGCCTACAATCCTTGGTGTTCCTTGGCTTGTGGCCACATCACTCCAGTCTCTGCCTCTGTCTTCACAATGCCCTCCCCTGTTCTGTTTTCTGTCTCTCCTCTAAGTATCTCTTATAAGGACACTTGTCATTTGATTAAGGGCCCACCCAGGTACTATAGGATGATTTCCTCATCTCAAGATCTTTCACTTAATTACATTTGCATAGACCCTTCTTCCACATAAGGTAACATTCATAGTTTCTAGGAATTTAATGTGGACATATCTTTGGGTGGGAGGGTCATTATTCAACCTACTACATATAGGAATTTATTAATTTGATAATATTTTTATGATTGTTTATAATATTTTAGTTTTTCTATTGAATGTTTTGTTTTCATTTCAAAAACAAATCATTTCTGATACCTTTAATATAACTTGAATGACAAATGATGTGTATATTTAACATTAAACCTGAAAAATATATTTAATATATCAGATCTTACGATTAAGATATCCCATAAAATTTTGATGATCTGGTTCCAGGACTAGAAGAATTTTACTGAGGAAATATTTGGCTCACATATTGGGTGTAGGGAATCATATGTCTTTTGTCTGTAATTAAGTCTCATTTTCATGATCTAAGAAGAGATTGAAGTATTGACTATCAAAATCAACCATATCATGTTACAATCATTTGTCTGAAGTACATTGACAAGAAATTAATTCTTTAATGGGGAAAATACATTAGAGAAACATGAAAATTTTAGTTAATAATAATTGGGGAAATGTAGGAAATTCAGCATCCAAGATTGTCTTCTATGTGTATTTTTTTTTTAATTCCTTATACCTAGGAAAGAGTTTTACATATAAAAGATTAGGAAAGCAAATGTGTTCTTTCTCGTACACATGTATAGTAATCATTGATAGACATAGAGCCTAGTGTTTGTTAGCTGAAATATTGGCAGATTACAACTAGCTGATTACTTCCAAAGGTGATTACATTTTTCTCTTTTCTTTTGTCCTTCTCTCTCTCTCTCTCTCTCTCTCTCTCTCTCTCTCTCTTTTTTCCCAGAGGGTGGGAATCACATTTAGCCAAAATTATCTTTAGGAAATGGAAGTAAACTTTAATTTAGAAATTTGAGTAAGGAGTAAAACATTAGAGAAGGAAACAATGGTTTAGAGAATTATATTCAGAGAAAAGGAAAATAACATTGGAAACAAAAATCTAATGGAGTTCAAAACAGCTCTATTATGTATGAAAAAAATGTGTAAAAGTACAGAATAAAATAGTACTGTACTTAGAAAAAAATCACAATCTGACACATTATTTCATTTGATTGGAAATTAAAGGACAATTTGTATTTCTAACTCAAATCTAGGAAGTTATGGTCATCCCAAAATTAAATATTATATCAAAACCATAGCAGCCTACAACTTACCCATATCTTTTCATGGATTAGCTAGGAGCTATTTGATCTGCTCTGACAATTTTTGTGTCTCAGATTTTCTATTTTAATAATGGAAGAATATCTGTCACCTGTGATTTTTATGTTGATAATTAATGGGGAAAAGGTGACTGATTTATCCATCTGGTAGCCAACGAAGCAGTTACAAAGGCATATTAACTATATCTATATCATAATAGCAGCAGTTCACCAAATCAGACATAAGATTCTTGAAATAATTTCTCCATTCCTGATCTCCAACCCTCCCAATATTTGAGTTATTAATTTACTAGCAAAGAATAATAAAGTCACGGCAGAACAACATGGGGACATTTGGGATTTAAGTTATCTGAGTTAAGAAAGATTTTTTTAAATTTATTTAACAAGGATTGATCAAGATAAATTATTCCTAAAAGGATAAATAGGTGATAGAAAAAGGTGAAATGGAAAATAGAAGAGTACAGTAATCCCCCCTTATCCGCTGTTTTGCTCTCCACAGTTTCAGTTACCTGTGGTCAAATGTGGCCAGAAGATATTA